GGCTCTTTGTACTCAAGCAAAAAATATCTGAATAATAAAAATGTAATCCTTAGTAACTCTTTGTCCATGGATGTAGGCCTTAGTGCCGAACCATGTATATGCCTATGTTCTCCATCTTTCTCTCTTCCCTTTGTCTATTTGCATTTTTTATTTCCGCATCCAAAATTTAACATGGCATTAGAGCCTAGATATTCTTGTAGTCTCATCTAGAATTTGAGGGGGAGTATTGGTATTATCCTTATAGAGCATATTCTCCAAGTCTTCACATTCCTTTCCCTTCCGGTCCATTTTTCGGATGGTTCATCACCTCGGCATTCGCCGATGTTGTTCCAACCTCCCGGCGTTGTTCTGGCCATTTCCCGACTTAGTTCCAGCCATTTCCCGATGTTGTTCCGGCTTTTCCTGGCTTAGTTCCGACCATTTCCAGGCTTAGTTCTGGCCTTTTCCCGGCTTAGTTCCAGCCATTTTCCCCGGCAAGTTCCAGTTTATTTTTCCCGACAAGATCTGGTCATTTTCCCCAGCAAGATCTAGTGAATTTCCTGGTTTTGTTCTGGACACCTTCTCATCATCTTTCAAGGCATTTCTTTAGCAAGCTGGGCATTCATGATATCCATGCTCCAACTTGAGCGGGAGTGTTGAAGTATATAAATATTTCTATATAATTGTCGAACAAAATCTTCCACCAATCATGGTGATTCGGTCAATTCCCTTCTAATTATAAATATTTATATATAATGGTGGACCAAAATCCTCTACCAATCATGGTGTCTCCTTTGACTATCGTACATCTTCTATATTTTCTTATCTTTACCGTGCCTATATATAGGCTCTTTGTACTCAAGCAAAAAATATCTGAATAATAAAAATGCAACCCTTAGTGGCTCTTTGTCCATGGATGTAGGCCTTAGTGCCGAACCATGTTATGCCTGTGTTCTCCATCTCTCTCTCGTCCCTTTTCCTATTTGCATTTCTTATTTCTGCATCCAAAATTTAACACTTGTACCATTTTCATTCTTTTTGCCTCTTGTGTAGTTATAAGAATGCCTTATCCTTACTTTAACTTATTAAAGACCCCTCATAAAAAATTAAGTAAATAAATAAGATTGTTGGATGTCAGAACTCGATCAATGAAGCAAAGGAGACCCTTTTACATTGCTCGCACCACTCACAAAGATACCTTGCATTGTCTTTTCTTGGTAGGAAACTCACGAAGGCACCCATTTATTCCATTGGAGACGCTCTCAAACCTTCCATTTGGAAGGAGGAGGTACTGCTTGGGCTAAGCCCTTGGTGGTAACATCTTGCATTGTCTACAGATTGCAAGTAATTAAATTCAGAAGTGGACTTTTTTCTCACTAAGAGGAGGGCATATGTTTGGAGTATACTTTCACAGGAATCCTTGGAGGAAGAAGAAAGATGAACAAGTGGGAAAAAGATAACCTTTATGCTAAAACATAACCTGCAGTAGAAGTGTGGAAAACATCTTATCAGCATCATCATGAATCCACAAATCTACAGTTGTCTTGTGTGAGCAAACAGTATTGACATTATTGACCCCCAGCCTGTTAACCATAAATGTCAAGGTGACAGTCCCGTGGTGCATTGAGGGAGATTTTAATGTTGTCTGTACGCCTAGTGAGAGATCACAGGAGGTCTTTGGTCTCGAGTCATGACTGATTTTTCTGATTTCATTGACACCCACCATCTTATTGATCTTCCGATGGAAGGAGGCCATTTCCCGTGGTCTAGTGGACTGGAATCACCAACCTTGTCACGGCTGGACAGATTCTTGGTTTCGGGGGATTTGGAGGAGAAGTTCCCCGATGTGTCTCAGGTGGCTTTAGCCCGTGCAATTTCGGACCATAGTCCTATTCTTCTTGACTGTGGAGGGGTGAGGAGAGGGAGATCACCTTTCCGGTTTGAAAATATGTGGCTCTAGGCTGATGACTTCAAAGATAGGGTTGGATTTGGTGGACGGGCTATGAGGTTAGGGGTAGTCCGAGTTTTCAGTTGGCATCCAAATTGAGGTCATTGAAGAGTGATGTTAAGACTTGGAACAAAGAAGTGTTTGGTAACCTTGTATGGCGAAAGAACAGAATCCTCCAGGAAATCTCAGTTTTGTATAGGAAAGAGAATGAAGAAGATCTTAGTAGCAAGGATGTGAGCAGAAGGGAGGAGTGTAAGGTTGAGTTTGGAGAGATTGTCGAGATGGAGGAGATCTCTTGGAGACGGAAGTCTATAGCCCTCTGGCTCAAGAAAGGTGATCAAAACACGAAATTTTTTCATCAAATGGCTAATGCTCATAGAAGGGGTAACCACATTGGGGGATTCGATTTAATGGGTTTACAGTTACTATGGAAGATGATATTCGGAATGGGTTCTTGTCTTTTTTCAAGCAGCTCTTTGAGGAGATTGCTTCTTGGAGTCCTTTGCTTGATGGGCTTGAGTTTGCAGTTATCTCAGATGGTGATAGAGACTGGCTTGAAATGCCGTTTGGGGAGGAGGAGGTGTTGGTGGCTTTGAGGAGCTGTGATGGGGATAAAGCTCCTGGACCGGATGGTTTTTCTTTAGCTTTCTTTTAGCATAATTGGGAGGTGGTGAAGGTTAAGGTGATGGGGGCAATTGGCTCCTTTTTCCTGCATGGATCGTTTGAGAAGAGTCTCAATGCTTCCTTTATTACTCTTGTCCTAAAAAAGGGTGGGGCGATTGAGGCATAGGATTTCATACCCATTAGCCTTGTTGGGGCTGTGTATAAGATTATTACAAAATTGCTAACCATTCGATTAAGGAGAGTGCTTAATGCTTTTGTTGGAGGGCGTCAAATTTTGGATTCAGTGTTGATTGCTAGTGAGTGTATTAAGGCTAGGGCGAAAAATGGAATTCCGAGGGTTGTGTGCAAATTGGATATTGAAAAGGCTAAAGATCATATATGTTAGGATTTTTTGATGTATAAGAGAGAATGGGCTTTGGTCAAAAGTGGAGGGCGTGGATTTCTTTCTGCATTTCAACAGCTCTTTGGCTGATATGCTGGGATGTGGTGTTGGCTCTTTTCCGATCTCCTACTTGGGACTCCCTTTGTGAGCCTCGTCGAGGACAATTTCTGTTTGGGATCCGATTGTTGAGAGATTTGAGATGAGACTTGCAGGTTGGAAGAAACAATGCTTGTCAAAAGGGGGGAGGGCTACTCTTATGAAAAGCACACTCTCAAGCCTCCCGACCTATTTTTTGTCACTTTTCCAATGCCTAAGTCAGTTGTTAGAAGACTGATGTTATTCAAAAGAAAGTTCTTGTGGGGCAGTTTAGGAGATGAGTTCAAGTATCATTTGGTTGACTGGAATAAAGTGTGTTCCCCTATTAAAATGGGGGGTTTGGGCATTCAAAGGCTGGATGTGTTTAATAAGGCGTTGTTGGGCAAGTGATTGTGGAGATTTGGGAGAGAGAGGACCAAGCTTTGGAGGCGTGTCGTCGCTTGTCGTTACGTGGAGGGTGATAGAGGGTGGCAGTCTAGGGAGGTTATATTCCCAGCGGGTATGGGCTTTTGGAAACTTATCCATAGAGGTTGGGATGAATTTTCTAAAAGGATTCAGTTCAAGGTTCAAAGTGGAAGCAATGTCAGGTTTTGGGAAAACATATGGTGTGGGGATTCAGCTTTGGCCCGCCCATAGGTTCCCTCAAATTTACCGGATTGCTGTGAATACAGATGCTACAGTTGTTGATTATTATCGCCTTGATAATGGAAGGGTGACTTGGGATATGCGGTTCCGTAGACAGTTCCATGATTGGGAACTATTGAAATTTAAAGATCTTCTGGCTTGCATCTATAGCCAGGTGGTGGTCGGGGTGGGCATGGATGAGATGGTGTGGGCGGGTTCCTTGAGAGGGGCGGTCGAGGTCCAAGTCCTTCTATTTTAGTATGGTGTAGATTCCTGGCCCCGTTTTACTTGGAAAGCTTTTTGGAGGACGAAAACACCACTAAAGGTGTTTTTTTTCTCCTACTTTGGGAAGCATCCTCACTATTGATAGTCTTAGAAGAAGAAGTCAAGTTGTGGTTAACTGGTGTTACATGTGTAAGAAGCGGGGAAATCTGTCAACTATCTTCTTATTCATTGCTCGGTGACAAGGACTGTCTGGTCTTTGTTTTTGGTTGTGTTTGGTATTCCATGGGTGTTCTCAGAATCTACGGTCGACTTGCTTGAGATTTGGAGAGGGTGTACAGTGGAGAGCTGAGTCAGAGATGCTTGGAGGGCTACTCCCCTGTGTATATGGTGGGGTTTGTGGCGAGAGAGAGATAGGAGATACTTTGACGGTGTGGAGTCTCCTATTTGGGCTATTAAGTATAGTATACTTTCTTCTTTTGGGTAAATGGGCGGGGATTGTATGCCAGTGGATTGTCTTTTGGATTTTGCTGATAGCTTAAAGCTAAAGTGTCAACATGGACGGCGGTTGTCTGTTTTGGGAGCGCTCCCCTCTTAAGCGTTTTTATGAAGTCTTTCTTATCTATCAAAAAATATATATGTATTTTTTTATTTACAACAAAACTTGAAGTTTATAGTATATCATGTCAAAAAAAAATTGTTATTAACCGCATCAGCTTAAAAAGGAAAAGCTTTCTTAACGGCTAGAAGTAACCAGAGAACATTCATTATATGAATATATGCATTCATACTGCTTTTTTTTTAGTCCATGATGGTAAGAATCGAGTCACTAACCCCTACCCTCCCTTTAGATGCCATGCCAAAATTTTACCATTGTGCTACAATGGCAATTACAAACATGACAATTTTTCTATCATTACTGTAGCTTCGAGTACCTCAATAATCATCAACGCCACCCCCCTTTCCTCTCTCTCAATGTCTCTCTCATTACAATAACTAATTGCCAAAAGATAAATCCTAATCCTTACACAGCCACAATATTTTGACATTTATTTAAATTAGTCAAATAATAAGAAACATTGGAACAAAATAGTATGCTTTTGCTGTCACATCAGATGGTCATACCTAGTCCAGTCCACATTCTTTGGAGTGGTGTAGAATTCAAAACGAAGAGCCCATTGCACAGTGACATGCTGAGTGGAAAAAGACATAGGCCCATCCATGGGAATGGAAAAGAGAAAGCTTGTCTGGACCAAATCTGCAACAACTTCATGATGATCGCTCTGAACCTACATAAATCGATATGAACCAGAAAACATGACACAAAATCACTTATTAAAATGTTTCCAAGCGTTAAAGAATATCAGTGTGTAGTGAAATTTGAGAGTTAAACAGAATCAAGAATGTCTTCCTAAAAAAACAAAGGTAGTGTTTGGGCAGCATTTGAGAGGCTCTAAAAGGACCTCCAAGCCATAAATATCATTTTCAAGAAAATATAGGCGTTTGGCAAACGACAGAAATAGACTTTTAAGAGAAGTTCCATGCTTCAAAGTGATTTCATCCATAGCTTGTGAGAGTACGATTTAGAAATGAGTTTCATGAAGTCAGTTGAGGTACTAAATGACAAATCAAATGACAGTTTTGTCTTTTTCTTTATCAGGTTATACCAAAAACCAAAGGACGTCATCAACACACAGATCATCAGCTGACAAGGGGATTGAGTGATTGACACTGATGGTGTCTGGTAAAGGTGGACAATGGTGACCAGTAGAGTTTGTGACTCTCTAAGGTTTTCAAATTTAGAGAGACGGGGATGGTGTTAATTAGAAAGAAGGCAGAGAGAGTATAAAAGCAGACGCTGAGTCCATAGGTCACACGTGTTGACTTTTCTCTGATATCCCAGTGGCAATTCATGTATATGTACTGGATGTCCCATAGACCCAAATCTGCTGTAAATCTGCCCACTCTCAAATCTCTATGAACTCCACTCGCAAGCAAAATGCTGGGTAACTGCTCTCTCTTCCTTCATACTGTTTGTATGAAAATCCAGAATAAAAGGACAAAGAAGGAAGAGGAAAAACCCAGGTTATTGCTACCTCATGTCATTTGATTAATTAATATTTTCATCACTTTAATGTCGCCAGAGATCCCCAATTTCAGCCACAATCCCCCAGGGATTACCCAAGGCAATGGTGAATATCATCAATTTTAATCGTGTCAGGCTACTGATCGTCACTGTAGTTCGACTCATTTTGACATTTTCAAAGTTGTTACAACGCTTCCACGGTCTTCTTTCTACATTTCTGGGAGGTAATTTGGTAACATGGAAAAGTAAAAAGCAAAATGTTGTGGCAAGATCAAGTGCAGAGGCAAAGTATAGAGCAATAGCTCATAAAGCTTGTAAAATGATGTGGGTTTACAAGAGAAGGGTTTTTCCAACAACAGGCTTATGAGAATGATTTGCAAAAATCAGGCTGCTACGTACATTGTTAGCAATCTGGTGTTTCATGTGACAACAACATATCGAAGTAAATTGTCAGTTTGTGAGACACTTCATAATGACTTAAGAGGATACGTACTACTTCTGTGAGATCCAAAGATCAATTGGGAGATGTATTTCCTAAGGCATCGGGAAAATCACAATTTTCAGAATTATGTAACAAGCTGGGCATGATAGATATCTATGCTCCAACTTGAGGGGAGTGTTGGGTGATAGTGTAATTAATGATATAGTTGGGGGTCATGTTGTAAACAAGTAATATTTTTCTTTCAGGGTTTACACAAACTTGCCCTAGGGTTTCAACTACACACTTAGAGCTTTACAAACCATGCTATGATACCATGTTAACTTTAAGAGAGAATCAAAACAAGAGTAAAGTAGAAGAGAAGAAAGAGGAGAGAGAGAGAGAGAGAGAGATGAGGAAAGAGGGAAAGAATGAAAGAATACTTTCATCCTTCCACCGCATTCTATTTACACTAACAAGTTTCAAAAATTACACATAAGCACCCAACATTATATAAGTAATAACAAATAAGCCCCTGACAACATATATCAGATTGTTTTACGGTTATCTGTGTTAGAGAATACCCCCAAACCAGATCTCTCTTCCCTCTCGATCTAAACATCTATAATTTCCACAATTTTGTATATCCCCTTTATTCCTGTACATTGCACAATTAAGTACCCTACAATGCATTCCTCTCATCGTATTTACAGTCATATCCTTCTTTTCCTCCCTTTAAGATTACCTTTCATTGTATGCATACAGAATATATCAAGATTGCCTATGTAATTTCCCAACATCCTACGTTACCGATTTCAACTTAAAAATTTAATGAATCTTCTGCATCTACAATGCCAATATGGGGCTGAGCTGTGATATATTCACATTCTACTTTACATAAAGAGCCTACCAACATGTAAGAAATCCTATCCCACATAGCAAAGTAATCTCTCTCCGAGGCCATATAACTATAAGAGTCACTAGAGGGATGGCACGCATGTAACAAATCCTATTCCACATAGCAAAGTAATCTTTCTTCTAGGTTATATAACTATAAGAGTCACTAGAGGGATGGCACGCATGAAGAAGAAGAAAAATTAATTAAAAAAGCTGCTCCAACATAATCCAAGCGGAATTAGAACTTCACAAATTACAGTAAAAGAATTATACTTTCAAAAAGCAAGTCCCTGACCACTGGTTCAGTATTAAATGACTTTAAGCTTTTTTTTTTTTTTTTTTTTGATAGATAAGAAAGATTTCATTAAAACGCTCAAAAGAAGAACGCTCCCAAAACAGACAACCGCTTTCCATGACGACACTATAGCTTTAAGCTATCAACAAAATCCAAAAGACCATCCACTGACATACAATCCCGCCCATTTACCCAAAATATTTAAAATGACAATAAGATGAGGCAAACACAAGGTCTATATAATGTATACAAAAAATTTGCAAAATTCATGTTATACAATATATATATAAAGAATTGTAGAATTTATGGCTATAGAGCTAGGGTTAGATCACAGATTAAGAAGGAGAGATAATGAGGGAGAGCGAATTGGAGAAATGGTGTGAGAGAAAAATCTAACCATCTCTCTCACCCAAATCTCGTATATATACACACACACAAGAATAAAGGAACAATGAAAATACTACAATACCCATTAGGGTATATTAATAACATATATGCCCCAATATAACTATTCTAACAAGAATGAACTTTAGTTTCAAGATTTATTAAGTTTACAAGTCTTCAACAATGATGTCGTGATAACAGAATTTGCATGACTGGACACAAAAAAAATTGCTTAATTTTGTTACTCGAAAATGTGATTGTACAATTCCATATAAAGTTTACAATGATATGGCAAGCATAACAGCTTAGAATTAGAGAATATACCTTAGTAATTGTAGGAGAATGTTTCCGAGAAGGGTGGATGAACCGACGACTTATAGCCTCTGACATCTCCAGGGTTACTGAAAGCTGGAAACCACAATAATTCTAGACAATTTCATAAAAATCAACTACAGAAACAATATGTTGATGACTATTAGTGTTTTATTTATTGTTCGAAAATGCAATTACCTCGAGGCATCTCCGAGCTCCTTCTTCATGAAAGAAAGTAAGAGTGCCACCTATCTGTTGCCAAAAATATAACAAAGAATTTGACATTGAACAAATAAAAAAGAGATTAAACGCAGAAGGCTTAGAATAATTACCATGTCACTGAAGTAGTAAGTTGAATCAGAGTTCTTTGGTGAAAATCGGAGCAGAACTTGGTCATCCAGCCTGATATTGTAAGATCTTCCTCGAATAAAGCCTTCTGCTGCAAAAAATTGTTGACAGCAAATTGATTTTCCAAAATTAATAGAGTTACTATGAGTCAATTCATATATCATACATAGCCAAGTGTTAATTAGAGATGGCACAATAACTTACATGCTACAGGTTCGACAGTTCCTGGAACAGTTGGCACTCCTGAATCATCATCTGTGGGAAGGGATTCTCTATGTTTAAGTTGTTGGCTAGGAGAGACAATAGCTGAAGACTTTTGGGGTGATAAAACATCTGTTTGCAGAGATAAATAATCATTCAAAAATGGAATTATGTATATTGGAAACGAAAAACACAATAAAGTGGCGTATATGGAACATGCTGAAGAAATCTCAACAATGACTATCCCAGTAATCTAACGTCATGAAAGAAGCAATCACTGTAACAATTTTTGAACTGGAGAAAAATGAATAAAAAAGGCAATAGTTCAGAGAAATTTGCAACTTCCCTAGAATAGCTTACTCACCCTCACCAGAATCATATAAAACCTCAGACACGGATAGATGAGGAAGTGGCATATATGAAGATATGCTACTGCGTCCTTCGAGAAATGGAGCATCTCTATGTGATGACTTTGCAACAGATGATTGCAAGGATAATGAACTTCCAAAGGCTCTGTGTATATTTTCCTTGGTGGGATTGTAGGAAGAAACGGATGAGATTTCATCCCTTGAGCTCTCATAGCCTTCCTCAACTCCATCATATGTTTCATTAGCTCTAGCCTGAAAAGCAGTACCAATACTTTTAATACCTCATTAATCAAGTAAATGAGTTCTCATCTATATTTGAATTATTATTGATAATTAATTTGCTCAAATATATCTTTAGTCTGTTGTTCATGCACCCAAAAATCAATATATAAATCTTAAAAAAATAAACAAATAAAAAAGAAGAAGAAATATTAAAGGAGAAGGATATATGGAATGAAAATAACTGCTAGATTTGAGAGCTTACCCAATCAGAGTCTCCATCCACCTCTTTCCAGTAGACATCCAAAAGGATGGTTGAAGTAGGAACAATACCTGCAAACATTGGTAAAAACATGCTAATCATGCTGCTCATTTAATGCGTAGATATATATGGGGAACAAATTCCATTAGTCCGAGGTAAACTTTTTGTAATTTGCAGTATATTAGACCAAGGCAACCTTAAATCTGATATAACCTTTAAGGCAGAATTATCACAAGGACAAGTTTCAAAAAATCATAGTACCAATGCTTTCACATTAACTATTATATGAATGGAGAGAAATAATGCTTCAGACAATTGTTAGTGGTTTTTTCATTTAAGAACGTTAGGAATTATTTGTGAATGGCAAAAAGGTAAGAATGCAAAATCTTTATCCAGCCAGATAATAAAGGAAAATCAGACAGCTAGAATAAAACCTATAAGTCATCACTTTGATCAAAATAAGTGTTAGTTTTTTATATTCAGGACAACAAATTGTGGAAATAAAGAGAAATAGCACCATAACTTTTTATGTCTCTCTCACTTTTATTAGGACACTGAAATTTATTGACCTTGAGAGTCAATTAGCTGTGATGGCCCTATCACATGGCAAGAGAACTCAAAACCATGCCAAGCAAGAGATTTCAGCGGTCCGGGAACAATTCACAGTCAACTCAAAATCAGCCAAGCTTAGCATCTATAAGTTACAAAAACTTCAGGTTCCAGTTACATGCTGCCCATTCAAGAAATCATTCTTGACATTAAGTTTTTCTATAAGCAAGGTAAGTTAATTAAATTAGGGGCCATTGCTTATTTGATTCTGAGAGCAGCCACTTTGAGCAAGAAATTTTCAAAGGTATGGTCTTTCCCCAGCCTTTTTCATATCTCTCAACTATAGGTCCCACCCACTTAGACAGAATCCCAAGAGGCAGCCCCAGATAAGAAATGGAAGAAGAGATAGTGCTGCATCCCAAAATCTGAGCTGAAGTGGAAATGTCAGGAACCTCCCCAACCGGAACCAGAACACTCTTGCCCACATTCACCTTCAAGCTAGAGACAACTTGAAACCAAATCAGAACATCAACAGTCTCATCTACAACGCATCCACATCACAAAAAACCAATGTGTCATCCACAAACATCAAATGAGAAATCTCCATCTGACGGGCAACATCCCTACCCACCCTGAATTCTTTAAAAAAAAAAAACCAATTCCACAGCCCTTGTCATCATTCTGCTAAGAGCTTCCATCACCAAAAGGAACATAAAAGCCACCCTCAGATTTATAATTCTTTTACTTATATTATTTATTTTGTCATTGAGGAGAGCAAACTAGAAAAAAAGTAGCTACAATACCAACTTGAAAAGCTAGCATCAATCCTAAAGCTAAAAAAACAATAAATAAAACCAATACAGTTGCAATACACTGATTACTTCAACCAAAAAGAAAATAATAGATCAAGGATTTTCCATTTTTGGGCTTTACTCTTGAAAGCCCAACCTTATAGGCAAAGCTTCACGGATCAATTTGCCAAGCTTGTATCAGAACAATTGATGACAGGAGAGAGGTCGGCCATGAACCTTGATCCACACAATTAGCAAGTCTAGAAACTTACACTACTGGTTATCAGTTTACACATGCAATCAAGAAGCAACCTTAGACAACAACCACATTATAAGAAAAGCCTCACCAAAGTAAAGAGCATTTTAACTGCAATATACTTCACTGTTTCAATGGTTTCTTCTTAATTTCTAGAAAAGAAGTGATTAGAATCCATCTGCAGATAATGGAACTTTCAAGCCAAACTGCAGAGTTAAAGTTTTATGTCAAATGCAATAGCACAATATAACAATTTACCATTTGAAGCAAGTAAAAACTCACCATCAATTCTATCTTGTTCAATTAGCAAACCATTGCTATTCTGAGTGACCCATATTTGCAAAGGGATTCGCACTTCCTGCAAAATTGAAGTTCATTAAACTTGGGCTTTGTTTGGATTGATGGAATTGAAAGTAAAAGAAAAGAAAGGGAGAGAGGGTGATTTTCAGAGGACAGAAAAGAAAGGATAAGGAGAGAGACTTGAGGAATTGCTTAACCCTCCAAATCTCTCCTATGATATCCTTCCAAAAGTGGGAAGATTTGGAGAGAGAGCATAACAACTTAAGTGAAACTTTCATAATACCGAAAATAACCTTAACATTTTAATGAAGAAATTTAAGACATTTGAATACCATCTTAACATTATGGCATTTGATCATTTTGTGATGGAAATTTAAAAGACATTTGAGTCCCATCTACATATATGTATCTATGTAGTTATATATATATATGGAGAGACGAGAGAGAGAGAGAGAGAGAGAATTAGAAGAGGGGCACTGTAATACTAAAAGTGTGAAAACTGTATTTCAGACATATTGTGCATTTAGACATAGAGAGGGATTGAAAGTCACCATCACTCGTGAGGTTCCAATTTCAGCATATTATTAGTCGCAAGTTCACACTTTTCGTACTGCCCCTGTACTATTGTTTTCCCCAAATAAACACCTAATTATATAATCTGGACTCAAAATACTCCCTTATTGACAATTTTTATTGGAAAAATAATAGTAACATCAACATAGCTTTTTACAATACAATAAGATCAATATGGGTTAGATTTTATTCCCATTAATTCTTTCACAACTTTAGACACTTCTAACTTTTCCATGGAGAAGTGCCAACACAGGAACAGGAACCGGCCGATTGCTTGAATTGGGTCTTTGTTAGAGAGTCCCAACTGACAGACCTGATCGTCCCAAAGTTCTTAATAGAAAACTGACCGGGGCAAGGCACTTCCAGTCAAACTGATGGCGCACCCTCATAAACATACTTTCTTGATTGAAAGGCAGGCGAATAAGCCTAATTACAGCATTTAAGCCACCCTATGTGTTCTATTTTGTAATATAAATACAAAAGGGTATGATAGTAAATTGGTAATTAATTTCTTTTCTTTTCTCTCCTTTACCTTTTCCAAACAAAAAAGCTATCCTTTCCTTTCTTGTCCTTAATAATTTATCCAAACATGAATTATCAAAAAAAAAAATCTCATCTTTTCTTTTCTTTTCTCACATGATATTATCCTTTCTTTCTTTTCCCTCCTGCTTATCCAAACGAAACCTTAAAATTTGAATTATAAGAAAAACGAGTGCATATCGAAACATGTCTCGAACACCTCATTTCAACTTGTGCTCAACATTCAACAGATTTCCTCAAAATTTTACAGGGGAGGAAAAACAAAAATTCCAGACCCAATCAAAAAAAAAGAGGGTGGAATGGAATATGAGTTTATTCAACCTAATGTGTCGAAAAAGGCGTTTCAACAAAAGCTTTAAAAAAATAGATCTCTGACATATTGTTGTCATTGTTCTCAGCCCTATTTTTTTCATCACAGGACATGCACCCTTAAGAAGTTCTAAGCAATAATGAAGATCGGACATAACTTATTCAAGTCACTTATTAAGGGTTCAAAGAGGTCCACTCAGACTTAATGAAGAAATAATGAGCAATTACTTACATTGTGAAAATAAAAATAAAATACTGAAATCCAAATCAAATAATCAATAATCGAAAAGACTATTGTCACTAAGAGAAAAAGGCGATTCTAGGGTTTCACTGGCAAATTAGAGTTTGCTAGGTTTGGGGTTGAAGAAGCCCGGCCAGCATGGAGGAGGTTCTTCCCTCCTCCCCAATCACAGGGAGGGTGTCTCCCCACACTACTTCTTCCCCTCAACGTCCATCTTGGAGTTCTCTCTTGAAAGATAATTCTCAGAGTGGTTTCACAGACTTGGAGTATTATGATGATAGCAAAGGTGTGGAGGTAGATGAGATTGATGAAACGGATAATACTGAGGAGACGGAGTACTGGCAAAACTCAATTATCTGCTGTCTTAGGAAACAAGCCGTACTTCCCACACTTCGTCTTACGTCCAGAATCGGTGGTGTGCTGATGCAGTAGTGGTGTCCCTAAAGGAGGGTTTTTTCCAGCTTCGATTTCCATGCAAAGCAGATGTTATGGGTGTTCTATCTCGGTTTCATACGTTTGAGGGCCGTCCAGAGATCTTGAAGAAATGGAACAAGAATATTAAACTGGAACGTGAACTCTTATTAACCATTCCTATTTGGCTTACGCTATATGATCTATACACTCATGCTTGAAGCCCGAAAGAACTATCAAAGATTGTTTCCAATATTGCTAAGCCGTTGTACATGGATGATATGAAACATACCCGTGAAAGAGGGCTGTTCGTGCGAGTCCTGGCTAAAATGGATGTCCAGGGTGAGTTTCCAGATATCATTACTACTCATCTACGTGGTTGTAACTGTGTTGCTAAGGTTGAATATGATTGGAGGCCTCACTTGTGTAAGGTCTGCAATTGAATCGACCACATTGAGGATAAATGCACATTGAAGGTTAGTAAGCAAGCTTCTAAACCTAAATCCAAAGAACAATGGGTGGTGAAATCAAAAGGAAAAATGGTTGCCTTGGATGATAATCCACAGAGTGGGATTCAGGTTGATCATGGTGCTGCTGACTCTTCTGGTTCACAGTTGCTGGTAATCCAAGAGTCCAGTCCAAAGGTTGGAATGGTTGGAGTGGCTATGGCTGATTCAGATGGGTTAATCATGCAGAAGTCAAAGTCCAGAGATAAAGGGAATGGTGTAGAGATTCCAAATCAAATTATTACTCCTAATGCCTCTGCGGTACTTGATGAATTGCCTGAGAACGGATTTGGAGGTTTTTGAGTCAACTCCACTTGAGTCTGAGCCTACTGTTATGAATGCTGATGAGATTTCGAGGGCTGATGATGTTACAGAGGGAATGTCCCCAGTGATTGTGAATGATAGTCCTTCCTTGGCATCTAAGAAGGAGAAACCACAATTAAATGATTGATGATTGGTTTATGGAATGTTAGAGGACTCAACAGGAGGAGAATGCAGGCAGAAGATTCTTCCTGGTTGAGTATCTTTTCTTTAGCTTTAGTTTGTCTTGTTGAAACTAGAGTTCAGAGTAATAAAGGCTCGGATTAAAGGGTTTGGCACTGGTCTCACAATTATGCTGTTGATTCTGGGGGTCGAATCTGGTGTGGGTGGGATCCTCTCAGGCTTGACATCACCATCTTAGATGTCAAGGCTCAAGTTATGCTTATGCAGGTTGGGATTAGAGGTACTGGTACTACCTTTTTTATTTCCTTTGTCTATCTTGAGAACACTGTTAATGAGAGGAGGCTTTTATGGAGGGATCTATTGGATTGTGCTTCTAAAGTGAATGGTGCTGGGCTTCTACTTTGGGATTGGAATATAATTGGATACAATAATGAGAAGAAGGGTGGTTTGAATCTTTCTCCCAGAATTTTACATGACTTCGATAGTATCATTGATCAGTTGTGTCTTGCTGAAATCCCTACTATTAATGGGTTGTATACTTGGTGTAATAAGAGGTTTGCTCACAGGAGGATCTATGCTAAGCTGGATAGAGGGCTGATGAATGAAGGCTGGTCTTATGCCTTTCCTAACTCTAAAATTTTACCCACTGCCCCAATGATTTCTGACCATTGGGGTTTGTGTGTGCAGTTTCCAATGCATATTGCTAGTGGTCCCAAACCTTTCAGATTCCTTTTAGTGTGGAATAAACAACCTGTTGAGGTCATTTAAGATGTGTGGAATTCTGTGGTGACAGGAGATCCTATTCAAAGGCTTATTCAGAAACTTAAACTCACCAAGAGTACAGTAAAATTATGGAAAAGGGATAAGTTTAGTTCAGTTCATGAAAAAGTTATTTCATGAAGAAAGGCTCTTGAAGAATGTCAAAATGCCCTTGCTATTGATCCTATGAATGCTGATGCTATTAGTGGAGAGAAGCATGCTAGAAGGCAGTTTGAGGATGCTACTTCTAATGAGGAAATTATTTTATCTCAGAAGGCAGGGATAACTTGGATTAAAGATCAAGATAGATGTTCTAAATTCTTTTATCAGAAGATCAAGGAACACATGTCTGGGAATAATGTCACTGTTTTAGAGAATGCAGATGGTGTGTTGGTCACCGATCCTGTAGGCATTCAGGATATGTTTGTTCAACATTAATTCTCTCATGGATCTGCTGTTAGAGAACACTTTAAGGCTGAGTATATTAGAGAGTCCTTGGGCCAGAGGATGTAGCTCAATTAAAGGCCACTGTTAGCAGGGATGATATAAAATCAACTTTGTTCAGTATGGGTGCTGACAGAGCCTTGGACCAGAAGGTTTTACATCAAGATTCTTTCAATAATATTAGAGTATAGTGGGGAGTGATCTTACTGGTCAGTCATCCAGTGATGGGAAAAGGTTTGAATAGCTCTTTTATTACTCTAATTCCTAAGAAGAAAGAGTCTGTGAAGGTTGGTGACTTTAGACCTATATCCGTGTAATGTGGTGTATATGGTCATCTCCAAGATTTTAGCAAATAGATTGGCTCTGGTTCTTGACAAATTAGTGAGGAAGGAACAAAATGCTTTCATCAAGGGCAGTAAAATCCAAGATAATATCATCTTAGCTCATGAATTGCTGAGGGGTTTTGGTGCTAAGAATGCTAAGCCTACCATTGCCTGGAAAGTGGATTTAAGAAAGGCTTATGACTATGTTCGATGGGCCTTTTTGCTTCAGTAGCTACATTTTATTTGGGTTTGGCACTAGCTGGATTGGTTGGGTAAAAGAATGTATCTCCTCTGTTTGGTTTTCTATCCTGATTAATAGTAGTCCCTGTGGGTATTTCCAGTCTTCCAAAGGTCTCAGACAGGGATGTCCATTATTTCTTCTTCTCTTTACCCTAGTGACTGAGTATCATTCAGGTGTACTTGAAGCTGATATCAATAAAGGGAATTTGGTGATTTCAGAAGCTGCAAGGAAAGCTGGGATTCCTATTTCACATCAGTTTTTTACTGA